TTTCTTTCATAATGGGCTATTTGTATTTGAGGGTTGAGCCACACTGGTATAGAATTGTTTCTGGGGGCACCTGGGTGGCTCAGTTGGTTAAGTATCTAATTCTTGGTTTCGGCTCAGGTCATGATCTCGTCGTTTGTGAGATCAAGCCCCACATTAAGCTCTGTGCTGATGGTGTAGAGACTGCTTGGAATTCTTCCCTCCCTTGCTGCGCATCTCTCATGCTTGCTCACCCTCTCTCAAAATAAAAAAAAAGAAATTAATTTAATTAATTAATTAAATTTAAAAAATAATTATTTTTGAATGTATGGAAATTCCATGCTATAAAAGTTTACTTAAAACACCCAAAGATAAGGGACGCCTGGGTGGCTCAGTCAGTTAAGCGTCCTACTTTGGCTTAAGCCATGATCTCTTGGTCTGTGAGTTCAAGCCCTGCCTCGGGCTCTGTGCTGACAGCTCAGAGCCTGGAGCCTGCTTCAGATTCTTCATCTCCCTCTCTCTCTGCTCCTCCCCTGCTCCCACTCTGTCTCTCTAAATTAATTAATTAATTAATTAATTAATGAGACTCAAGGATAGGGCCAACAAAAAACAGGAGATATAAGAATGTTGATACCATGTAGAGAGACTAAAGCCTATCCAGTGAAGAAGTATGTGTGTTTTGATATCATATGTGTATCAGGGTAATCCACAGCCTGTCGGGTTTGGGTAGTTATTGTCCTTGACATTGGGTCCTGTGGAACAAAGGAGAAAAGGAGGGAAGAAGGGAGGAAAGAAGGAAGTACACAGGTTGCCTTCTTCTCCTAAGTACTAACCCAGTTCATGAGCATGTACACTGCCAAACCATCCTGAAAAAACAGAGACCAACTTCAAAATTAGAGTAGGTTTATCATATCAAAACATGGGGCGGTGAGCTCTGTGGAACCATTTGGTGCTGAGAGCCCAGCTGCCCTCTGAAAGCACCGCCCAAGACTATATGTACTTTCCCTCTCACTGCCTCAGAGGTAGTTAATTCCTTATCTCTTCTAATGTATTTTAAATGGGAACAACAGAACAGGTTACAGTTGTGCAAAATGCCACTTAGTTGCAAATAGAACTCAACTAAAACTAGATAAACAATAAATTAGAAGTATTTTTCCTCAGAACTGAAAGTCCAGATTTGGGTAAGGATATGATTTAGTGCCTGAACCATATCATCAGTAAATTTCATTCTATTTTTCCATTCTGCCTTTGAACAGGATTGGCTTCTTTATAAGGGTGACTCCCATTATGGTTGCAAAATGTCTGCCTGCTTACTTTTGGGGACATAGATTTCCTGTCTGTATCTAAAGGAAAGAGGGAGAGAGGGTTATTTCCAGGTGCTTTCCCAGAGGATTGAGGAAGCCTCCCTTCCAAGAGCCTCACCTCACCCAAACACATACAAACTTGACCTTACACATCATTATCCCCAAATGGGTCATATACTTACCTAGACGAATAATGGTGGCCAGGAAAATGGAAAAGGTTTACTTAGTTATGACTTACAAACTTCCCCTCTAAATCCACAGGAGAAGTCCTCTTCCCCCAAAGAATTGATGTAGATACCCAAATAAATCTGAAGATGATACAAGAGAAAGAGCATTGAAAGCTGATGAAACAACCCTAGTACACATTGCAAAGGGTTTCCTATAAGCCTGCTAATTTACTGCTTCAGTTCCGACAACTGAACCCATGGCTCTTTCCTACTGCAGCAAACTTTGATGGGTAGAGCCATCATTTCAACATTTAGTGTTTATAATAGTCACCTGCTGCACTTTTTAAAAATGCAGAAACTTGAGGGGCGCCTGGTTGGCTCAGTCGGTTAAGGGTCTGACTTTGGCTCAGGTCACGATCTTGTGGTTAGTAGTGAGTTTGAGCCTCGCGTCATGCTCTATACTGACAGCTCAGAGCCTGGAGCCTGCTTCACATTCTGTCTCCCTCTCTCTGCCCCTCCCCCACTCACGCTCTGTCTCTCTCTCTCTCTCTCTCTCTCTCTCTCTGTCTCTCTCAAAAGTAAATAAACATTAAAGAAATACATTTTAAAAATACAGAAACCTGAACTAACACCCAAATTCAAATTCAGTAGATCTGGAACATTTTAAGGAACACCCAAGGTGATCCTTTTATGGGCAATGAGAAGATCACATAGCTAAGTTCTCTACATCAGATACATATTTTTAGCGTCTCTTTTTTCCACTGTCACCATAATTTTCGTACATCCTTCTGCATTGTGCCAGGCAGAGCAATACAGAGTTACTTGTTTACTTTTGTTTTGCTTGGTGCATGTGTTTTTAATTTCCAGGGTTAAAGGAATTGCATGTGACAAAGACATATGTATTTTTTTGATTTGCTGATTTCATGAATTCTAAGAAGCAAATAGGACGAGTGAAAAATAACTTGGGTAGCATGACATTATCTTCTGTGGTAATCATTTCATCTGAATCTCACTAATTAAGCCACTAATGTCCACTTTGAGAATTATTTGTACTTTTGGAGCTCTAGCTGCCTCCCATTACTAGTTCACCATGTTTTGTCTGGATGCCTACACACAAAACATCTTTGCCAGAGAGAACTATGACAGTGAATTGATACTAATACTAACCCTTTTGTATGCACCTGTGTGTGTGTGTATGTGTGTGTTTTAATATAGTAGGAGTGTTGGTTAGTGACATCTTTATATTATGAGGAACCACTGTTATGGAGATATTGCATAGAAATAGAATTCAAGGCAGACTTGTGTATCTGCTGACTCTAACATGGTTAATCTGTTACAAAGATGTTTTTAGGTATTACAAGCTTACGTGGAGCTTAGTGCACTGCTTAGCCCAGAGGCTTTGGTTTTAAGACATTCTAATTGCCATGTCTTCTATAAATTTGGAATTGTCTTTGCTTCAGTGCTGGCTAGTTCTTTCCTAAAATGTCTTGCTTATCCATCTATAATGGAGGGATAAAATCTTAGCATTTCTAATCTCTCTTCCTTAGGCATCACATGCTTAGGATATTTTAACTGCATGCTTGGGATCTCACCTCCTGCATCTATCCCTGGGTTGTAAGAGACACAAAGAAGTTTCCCAGTCCCTTCATTCAGCTTTTTTCTCCCTTATACTTCTTTCTGAGTAAGATTATCAGATATCTAGCCAGTCTTCATTCCATGACCCTTTTCCCCCTTTTCCCTATCTTTCTTAGTGGATACTCAATCAACACCTTGGGAGACAGGCATAGTGGACAGAGTTTGGTTTGAAAGCCACACTGACATGAGCTCAAATTCAAATTGACCTGAGACTAATTGCTCAGTCACTCTGAACCTCTGGATCGTCATCTATCAAATATGAGTCATTTTAATGTCATCATAGCTTTATAGAGTTCACACACATAAAGTGGCCAGCCTTGAGTGCTTTTATTTCCCCACTTTGAATCTCCAGACTTATACCAACAATGACCATCTAAGTCAGCACTTCTACAAGACTTTATGGTATTTTCCTAAAAGGGAATTCCTGGAAGCCACTGACAGTTTTCCTCTTTGAACATGTTATGTTAGATTTTGGACATAATAAAGCAACAAACGGCTTTTTAAATATTTACGTTCTCCACCCCATGCATGCCAACTCTGTTTGCTCTCTCTGTTCCTTTATGTGCCAAGGAGACAAGGCAAACAGTGAGAGGAAAATACTGTCAGGACACAAAGTAACCTTGTCTAAGGTGTACTCTGTGCAGATGGAAACTTAACGGAAAAGAGCGGAAACTGCTCCCTGGTTACACAGTGATACCTTGATTAACAAATCACCTGGGAACAAAGCTCCTTTATAAGCAATTCAGTTGAGTAAATTTTTATGTTAAAACTTCATGAATCAATTGAAATAGCACTGGCTGGTGTCATATAATTCAACGGTAATATTCAGAGTGAACTGAACTTGTGCACAGAGCAGAAATACCTTCTAACAGAGTGTGTCTGTTGGTGTGACGGTGAAGGGGTGGATTCTAGGCAAACTTGTGAAACAGTTGCAGATAAACTCTTGTTTTCACTCTTGCAACCACTGTGCTCCATCCTCCACATACGTGTAATAGTAGGTTCTTACCCTTGGAGTCTGCTCTTTAAAATTCCTCCCTTTTAAAACAGGAATCAGAATGATTCACACTTTGAGTTATGGTTCATGTTACCTTATATCGATGTTATTTAGCGATGTCTCAAACCTGGCTACAAGGTGGTACCATTGAAAGAGATTCTGACTTCATTGGTTTGAGGCAGGGCCCAGAGTTTGACTTTCTAATATAGATTCGCGGTTGTGAGCCACTGCTTTAGCATAAAACTGTATTTTCATACTGTGGCCTCTCCTTTTATAATATCCATGTTTATCCTTGTCTGGGCTGTAGAACACGTGTGTCAAACCACACAGGGTCACCCTTCACAGTGCCGGTTCTTGCGTGTAAATCACTGCTTCTGAATTTTGAAGCATGTGGTACCTGTGAGTTCAGTGTGTTTGTATGTAACCCCTATCTTATTTATAACTTCTACTTCATGGAGCAAAATTGTAATGCATTTTAATTTCTCTTTGCTAATAGAAAATTCCCACAAAGTGGTGATGGTGGGATATTCATATGTTATTTACAATTTATATTTTCAAATAATATTATTTATGATAATTATAATTTCCAATCAAACTAAATAAAGTCAGTCTTATTTGCAGAAAGGAAGGGAAAGCAAGTTCAGACAACTGAGTGGTCTTTTCTAATAAATATGTATCTTAGAAGATAAAAGTGTATAAATGTCCCTTTAATGTAAACTCTCATTAACTTGTCATTATCCAGTTATCTCATGACAGATTTCTAATGTATTCACAAAATTACAAATCAGGAGCTTGTAGTCTTTGTTTGAAAATGCAAAGTGTATTTATCTTCAATTTCAATCTCTCTCTCTCTCTCTCTCTCTTTCCCCAACCTCACCCCACCCCACCCTCTCCCTGTCCTCGTCTTTTTTCCTCTTATCATAGCATCAGATGAAGAAGAGCCAACGTCAGCAGGTAAAGTTCCTTTTGTTGCTAAGATTATTTCTATGTAATTTAATGCTGTTAACAATAGTCCCTTCACCCTTTGAAGTGTATTTTTTCTCAGTTTTCAACCAGGAAACTAGCACAGTTTTATTTACTGACTTTTTTTTAATTTCTTGGACCCATTATACCACCCCAGATTAAATGATGTTAGTTATAAGCTTTAAATTCAAAGAAAAAGAATTGAAAATGAACTGTCACAGAGGGAAACATAATGTAAAATATCACATCAACATTAAAGAATAAGGAAAATGGAGGGCACCTGGGTGGTTCAGTTGGTTGAGTGCTCGACTTCAGCTCAGGTCATGATCTCATGGTTCCTGAGTCCAAGCCCCATATTGGGCTCACTGCTGTGAGCCTGTCAGCATAGAGCACCCTCAAGATCCCCTGTCCCCCTCTCTTTGCCCCTCTCCCACTTGTGCTTTCCCAAAAATAAATACTAAATAAAAAAGAATAAGGAAAATGAGAAAATAAAAATATTAAGAAAAATGTCAAAAAGTAATATGAGGAGAAAAACTAAAATGATAAAATGCAGAAAAATAATAAAATGAGAATAAAAAAAGAGGAAAATGATAAAAAAGTACTTTTAGAAATATGATCTTCCCTGATAGAATAGTGCATTATCAAATATATAACTGGCACTGAACATGTTATTCATTTAAGTTTAAGGGTAAAAACCACATTGTTGCCTCAAACACTCACTGTATTTAAAACCAAATTTTTACAGTTATAAATTAATGATACTGAAATCTGGCATCATAACTCTGCTGGTCATCCAGTTAATCAGTATTAATCAAGCACAGGCTCAGGTTTGAAGTAGTTACTCCTTCATAGTAACTTCTATGTAACTATAGTACTTCAGAGTAACTACTGTGAAGAATACTAATGGTAGAGAAGGCATTGTGTTTCCAACTTGGTTCCAGGACAATGGGATGGATCAAAGAGAAATGCCAGGAGCCTAAAGACCAGGCACATTTGTAGGGATAAAGTAGGCAGCACAGCTCTTGTGATTAGCAATAAATAAAAGGCCCAGGCTAGCCAATCAGCAGTATCAGGAAAAAGGAGTCAATGTCCTGAGATGCAGGGGTTAGAGACTGGTCAGAAGAGGAAAACCAGACCCTAGCACTAGATTCCTTCTTAGGCAAGTAACTGAGGAAAGCAGTTGGGCCTGAGAGACAAGAGCAGAAAATGGTCACTGAAACCAATGGACAAAAGGCAACTTAGTTTTATAGGAAGGTGGCGGGGAGCTAGCGCAATTATTGGAACTTAGGTACAAGGTAGGGCCATTTTGATTCATAGACAGAATTTATTTCAACTAGTATGAGACTTCCTCATTTCTACCTTCCTCCAAAAGTGGCTGGGTGGGCATTTTTACCTTTAAGAGTAAAATCAGAAGATCAAAAATTCAATGGAAGGAAATGGAATAGACATCTAACAAATACCTTTGATAAACCCTGAGGATACTGTATTGTATGATACTCTTTATGATTATACTTCCCTTAAGAATGGAATCACAGAATTAGATAAACTCTCAATTATTCCATTTTCATATTATCATTCGTTTGCAGTCTGATTTGGATAAGAACTCCCTATCATTGTCTCCCAGTCTGGTCAGTATTGCGTAGCCTCTTTTTTTTTTTTTTTTTTTTTTTTTTTTTTTTTTTTTTTTTTTTTTAAATTTTTTTCAATGTTTTTTATTTATTTTTGGGACAGAGAGAGACAGAGCATGAACGGGGGAGGGGCAGAGAGAGAGGGAGACACAGAATCGGAAACAGGCTCCAGACTCTGAGCCATCAGCCCAGAGCCGGACGCGGGGCTCGAACTCCCGGACCGCGAGATCGTGACCTGGCTGAAGTCGGACGCTTAACCGACTGCGCCACCCAGGCGCCCCCTTGCGTAGCCTCTTTTTAGGAGCAACCTAATCACATGACTCAAGAGCAAACTCATCTGTTGATATGACTCCTCTGCTGACATGAGTCTTTTCCCTAGTTTCTGACTTCTTTTTGCCCTACTTGAGGCATTAGTGTTTACAGGGTTGCCCAGAGAGTGCATTTGTCAGCGTTAGTTTTCTCTTTGTATCAGTCCTCACTGGCATCTCTGCTTTCCTAGCCCACCCTAATTCCTCTTCCTTACTTCCCACCCCTTGCTTTTTTGCCTGCCAAACAATTTTGGTGCCATTGCAGAAGAATTATTCATTTTGTATGATGAAGATTAATTTTAGCCTAATGTAAATGATATTTAAGTATAATATAACTATTTCTTGGTGTAATTTCATTATTCTAAAGTTATTTTGATAATTTACCTACTAAGAAGGTCTTTTGGTAAATGCAACTGAATGTTTTTTCTCCAAATATTTATTTTACTTTAGAGTGATATGAACATCTTGGAATTTAAATTACGGTTGAAAAATATTTTTGTCTTCAGATATGAGCAGATGTTTTTCTAGTGATTTTAACACAGACTTTTACAACAGAACAAATGTACTCTTAAGGAATATTTTAGCCAAATAATTTCACATACAGGTTGGCACTGAAAAAAATTTGTCGTTTAGGAAAGCAGGCACTCCTATATAAAAACTGCCAGCGGGAATTAAATGTTTTCCTTTTAATTATATCGATGTATATAATAAAAAGAGTATTATTGTATAGTTGTATTAAAACTTTTGACAAAGTATTTATTATGAGATTTCTAAAAACTTGATTTTATAAGGAAAATGGGAAGTGGATTATGATTATTTTAGTCCTTTTTGGTACCATTTACTACAAGTTTTTTCAGCAGTTATTTTTCTTAAATGAATATTTATTATCTGTTTATGTGCCTTTTTCAGTAGTATTTATCAAAATATATCTTTTATTTAAAACTGTTAGTCAGAATATATTTATTTCATATATAGTTAATAATTTTCTCTACTCTTATCTTCTTCTGCTAACAGAATTTATCTAGAATAATCTTTCCTAACCTCAGACTCATTTTATGGTCCTTTATTTTATATTTCTTTCCTGGTATTTCTTTATACTGCTTAAATTATCAATGAAATGCTATCTTTTATTTGGTCCCAAATTTTACCTGAATTAAACTTTTATATGTTCCCACATGCTATTTTTGATATCTTAATCCGACTTATATTCTTCTTTCAAATCAGATTCACAGCATAATTGGATAGTAACTCTTTCAAATACATTCTTTAATTTCTTTAAATTAAATAATTTTAATGTTTTTGTTAGGAGATCTGCTACTCCTCAAAATTCAGTATGAGAAGAAATAATAAAGTAAGTGGGGATGTTGCAGGTTCCTATTAGTTATGAATGTATGAATTATTAATTAAGAATAAATCTTATTTTAAGAAAAATCTACACATGATCTATTAGTGTAGGTCCCTAGAAGATACTACTACTGAATGATACTATGTATTAAATGGTTGTTGGGGCGCCTGGGTGATTCATTCCATTGAGTGTCCAACTTTGACTCAGGCCATGATCTCAGTTCGTGAGTTTAAGCCCTGAATCGGACTCTGTGCTGACAGCTCAGAGCCTGCAGGGAGCCTGCTTCGGATTCTGTGTCTCCCTCTCTCTCTCTGCCCTTCCTCTGCTCACATTCTGTCTCTCTCAAAAATAAATAAACATTAAAAAAATGCCTGTGATGTCTGGGTACTGTATAACAAATCTAAGTTATTTTTACCCCACAGGTACACACAATTGTATTAATTATAATTCCATAATGTGACAAATTCTCATTGTTCAGAACTGTTTCTAAAGAGAATAATAGGTTTCTATCTTGAATAACACACAGTATGAAAAAAATCAGAAAGATAGATAATATAACTCAGAAAATGAATGAGATATTAGATAGTATTTTACTTACATTATAATGCTACAAAATGATAGAGGCTTTTCTCTTTACAATAGAGCCTATTTGAGCCTATATTCCCATATCATTCTGTTTATAATATTTTTATTCTTTATCCTGTTTTCAGTTATTTTTTTCAAATATCCCTAATTTCTCTTATTGGAACTTCTAAACTGCCACACACACAAAAAAGCAAGCACTTAAAATAACTACTTTTTTTGTGTTATTTTGTGGAGGGGGTGCATATTCCATCACATCTGCATTTCTCCTTATGGGGATATGTCCTGCTATTGAATGTAGAGCGTCTGCTTGCTAATCGTTCAGCTCCGAGTGTTCTGATGGGGTGTGTTAGTCTAGAGGAGCATGTATGGTAGCATCTGAGTTACTAGGGCAGCCTCACTGACACCTGTTTCAGGAACTATTGAAAGCTTTTATTTATCTTCGTTGAATCTTATGTTCAGATATTTAAACATCTTATTTCAATGAGTATAAAGAAATCTATGAACTATACAAATAAAAATTTCTTCAAACTAGGTTGTATGCCAAGATCTAATTACAAACTAGTGAGATACATATTTTTAGAGTGGCCACACAGACTCTGTACCTTCAACGGAGTCACCTTTACAGGTGACACATGCAAGCCAATTATGTTGCTATTGCCCAGATAGTTTTTGGAAGCTCTCTTTTGAAATTTCCTTCAGAATCCTCTCATGACATTGTAACATAAATTATTTCTTTATAGTCTCAGAAGTGTGATACTATACTCGTCAGACTTTGGCCTGATAAATGTGCATTCAAAAACAATGTTGGGGCGCCTGGGTGGCTCAGTCAGTTGGGTCATGACTTCGGCTCAGGTCATGATCTCACAGTTCGTGAGTTCCAGCCCCAAGTGCGTCGGGCTGTGCGCTGACAGCTCGGAGCCTGGAGCCTGCTTCAGATTCTGTGTCTCCTTCTATCTCTGCCCCTCCCCCACTTGTGCTCTGTCTCTCTCTGTCTCTCTCTGTCTCTCAAAAATAAATAAATGTAAAGAAAAATAAAAAACAATTATTCACAAATATTAAGAATGTGTGTGTGTATCTGTGCAAGTGAAATACAGATCAGTTTACAACTTTGAAATGAAGTCAGTT